CTCTCTCTCTCTCTCTCTCTCTCTCTCTCTCTCTCTCTCTCTCTCTCTCTCTCTCTCCTCTCTTTCTCTCTCACAGGTCCCTCGAGAATCGTCGACACGTCACGTGTCTCCGTTTAATTACGCAAAGTCATGTTCGTTTGCGCTTACAGATCCCAATCAAGCTGCGAATAACAATCACGTGAACAGCGTGTCGGAGGGACTTCCGGAGTCCGGGGCGAAGACGTTTTACGAGAATTTGCCTTTCCACGGGATCCAATCACCGCCTAACAAGGTCAGTATCGAGAATCGATTTGTGCACGAGAATCTTATATTCGTTGTTCGTTTTCGGCATGACGATCTTTCCTTCTTTCTCTTTCTCCTTTCCTTTTTCTCTTCCGTTCTCTTGATCGACCAAGAGTTTTGACTATACCTTGTTTGGCAATGATGAGATGCAAATTGTGTGTGAGTGGATCGAAAGTAGTACTCTTCGATTCGAGGATTAAAGGGTGTAAGAGAGTAGTAGCATTTTGAAAGATTTTCTACGTTTCTTCTTCGTTTCGTTTAGTGGGAAAAGTTCAATGATGAAGGTAATTCTGATTTTTAGAACTAAGTATATAGAATATTGGGGTAGATTATTGATTCTTCGTATTATATACAATTTATTCAAATTCTGTTTTCATGTTATGAAAGGAGATAATTCAATTTCCTCTGACAATTGCATAATTCGGTGTAACGATGATTCCTACGAGAAAATTTATTTTTATTATACAAAATAATCAAGTTTATTTTTGCATATATTTTGAAAATTGTCAAACATTCGAAATGAAATGAAAACCGTGTCGCTTGAAGAATATCTTTGCTTGCAAAATCAAATTCAACAGCTTAATAAAAAAAAAAAGAAGAAGAAGAAGAAGGAAATAAGGTCAAGAAAGTTACCGTGGAATAAAAATTCAACAGGAATGCTCCAAAAGATTCCAAGAGCAAGGCAAACATTTTTATTCGCGCGAGGAATAAAGAGAAGGAAGGATGAATCTAATTCGGGGGGGGGGGGTGGCAAAAACCGGCGCGATATAAAAAATAATAGTAAAAACTGGTGATGGAACTGGGTCAAGAAAGTTACGAGGAGAATTAAACAAGATCGTCCAAAAAAAAAAAAATACCCAAGAATTCTACGCGAGTAGTATATTTATTCTTGCAATCCGAGAAAAGAGAAAAAGTCCGGGAGAAGAGAGAGGGGGGAGGTAAAAAGGGGAAAAAGGGGGTCGAAAATATCAGGAACAACTCGAGCGGCCCTCGACCGCGAAACGGGGAAAAGTCAGCGTGAAATAATCGCATTATAAAGGGCTCGAGTGGAGTGCTGACCCTCTTTCCAAACCGGAAACACACAGAGCTCGCAAGGAAACGCGATGTACTGCACTTTGCGCCCGAAAGAGTGCCTTCGAGCATCGTTGGAAAGTGTTCACCGTCACCGATTCTCAATTTATACCTCTACTCCCCAATTGTCCCTCTTGCGGCAAGGATTTGGAAGCAATTTCTTGAAGTAATTCCAAGAGATTCGATATTTAAACTTGTGGAAGAGAGATGTGATAATTTTAATAGTAAACTCGTAGATCGTGTAATCACAATTTTTGAAGCTAATTAATTTAGAATAGCGTTTTACATATCGTTATTTATTTATTAATACGCTTGTTACTCGTGTCGGATAGTAGAATAATATCACGACGAATCGTCATTTGTCGTTTCCACTTGGATAGAAATGTATTTACGTGGTACTTGTTATTAAAAAATATTTTCGTTTGTCATTTCATGGTTCAACGAAAGTTTTAAAGAGGCATTAACAACGGAAGAGGAGGAAAATGAAATCGAATTTAATATCTACCGTTTACGTAAATATCTTAAGACGGGGCATTTAAAAAATTCCGCTCGCGCCCCGATCAAGGACCAATAATTAAAAACCGGGCATAGCCGGCATATCCTCCATTAAAGCGGAACGAGCCGAGCGGAAGATTAAACGGCGAATAATTCAGCGGAGTCGCCAGCAGAGGGCAATTTTAATATTGTAACGTGGTAACACTTCTGACCTTTCCCCCCCCCCCCCCTCCTCCGAAAGCCTTAAATTCCCCGCGTCGTTGCACGTGTTAATACTTTAAAACTGTCAACTGCGCGACAACGAAACTAAATCGACCAGCAGTGTCCAAGGTAGATCGATCTCGCGTATTAAATAATAAACTCGAGCGAGGTGTCGTCCGAACAAACTAACGCCATCTAGTCACCAGAAATGTAGGTACACATTTTTAGGAACTCGGCTTAACGAAATGTATCGTTATATCATTTCCTAAGAAATAAAATATTGTATTAATTACAAACAGAAATTCGACTTATCCATTGTACAATTAATTAAAAAAGAAGTAGAATCTTACAGTAGAATCAGAAGAAGAAAAAAGTATTTGGATATAGAATTAAGAATTAAGATTTTTGATACCGTAAGTCGTAAGAATATTACGTGCAGATCAAGGACGAAGGCAAAAACGATTCGTAAGTTTACAGCGTCTGAGGTTAATTCTCTCTTATTTAACCAAATGTCCCATTAACGGCCATATCGGAAGCAGAAACGATTTCCTGTCCAAGGTAATTGAGGTTGGGCAGGAGAGGAGAGCGCGAAGAGGCAAGAAGGCAGTGGCCCTTTGTCGAGTATCTTCACACGGTCCCAGAAGCTTTTGCTCCTCTGCGCTCTCTCCTGTTCGATGATTCCATATTTCATCAACCAACTCGGCCGTCCGCGACAGATTAACGCGTAAATTATCGATCGGTGGTCACGATCACGCGTGCACAAATGTTTATTTATTTGAAACGATGGTCGAAGCGAGCAATACCCAGTTTTCCGCCTGGCGCTGTGATAACGCTGATTATTATTTGCCTGGTCCAATTCGAACGCGGTGATGAAATTGACGCGGAGTTATTAGTTTTGGGAAGGGAGAGGATAAAAATATTTGGAGAAAATTGAATGTATACAGAGTGTTAATACGTTTGTTTAGGACATTTTTGGAGAGTCGACAAATCGAGATTCTACGAAAGTGTGTGTATAAATAATTTATAATTTATTAAATAAGAATTAAATAAGATCGATATTTTTAGATATTTTAGACGAGTTTAAGATAGTTTATTTTATCTGATTCGAGTAATTTTTATTCGGATGAAGACATTTTGAAATTTTTTCTTTTCAAATTAAAATTCAGATAAGATTTTCTATAACTCCTCATTTTAATTTGTTAAACTTATTAATTTATATTTTGCGTCAAATATATGAATTCTAGAAGTGAAATAAATAAAATGAAAAAAATTAAGAAAGAAAATTGTTTTCAAAAATTGTAGAAAATAATAATATTCATAAATAAATGATTACGATTATTCATAATTTATCTTATTATCCATAGTTGAATATGTAAGAAATTAAGCAAATATTCGGAATATTCTGAGCAGCAATGTAGGTCACATTGTGTCGGATGGGAATAAGTGATTTAATATTTGATAGGAAAAAAGAATAAAAGAAATATTCAAAGAATAATATCATTCTCGTTACACGAGAGACGAAAAATAGATAATCCGCATTTATCTACGCTTTCTCGAATATTTAATGGATTATAAAGGATTTGGGGATAAAAATCGTATCGAGATCTCGCGAGAGATGAAATGTTGAATTTTTCTTCGTTTGGATACAACAATTCGTCCGACCTTCTTTTTCTTTCTCTTTGAACTATGAGACTATTTGCATGAAAGATTAAAATTTATTTTTCTTTCTACCCTTAAGAAAATATTAAAGTTATTTGTGAATTGTTATGAATTGCTTTTTAATTTAATATATCAGTAAAAATCAAATATAATTTTTTGGACGAAATATAATTTTTAATATAACAAGTACAACGACGCAATGTAATAAATAATTCACTTTTATCCTTGACAAATTTTTATCTCTGTCAAAAAATTAAACGATCCGATAAATTCGATAAATTTTACTTATTAAATTATCAATCATTTAAACATAAAACATAAATGCAAAAGCAAAAGTTGAAGGAAAAATTATCCTCCCGAATATTCGTCACGTTTAACGTTACAATCATATTTGTAACAATAAAAACATTACGTAAATACAGATTATAGAAAGAAATGATTAATATTATATTATATGTACAGAAAATATGAATGTCAGAGCAAATTAACATACGCTAATTACCTCGAACGAAACGTTTCTGTAATTTATTGTATTTAAACGACTACTTTGTAATTATAACCGGAACACCTATTCGATTTGTCATATTTTAAAAATTTTGTATCACGTGTTCGAACGTGTAATAATCTATGTATCTTTCGACACGCTTCGTATGAATTAGCAGTTTTACTGTAAAATCGATGGCATCGAGCTGAAACAAGTCTTTCCATTTCTTTAATTCGTCACGGCTTCGAATCGTGTTCGAAATTCGATTATTTCGATCAGTCACTGCCTTCTTCAAAATTTCTACAAATTCGAAAAATTTATCCAAATCGTGAAACTATATTTTCCACGTTTATTGCAACAATGTTGAGTTTATCCAAAAATTACTTAAAATTACGCTAAAATCAGTATCATTTGTTGAACAATTTCGTTAAATACTTTACAACATTTTCTAAAATGCAAATCATCCACTAATTGATTTTTCTCGATCGAAATTTCTTTCAAAAACGGTTCAAGAATATTTTTTTCGGCGACGAAAAAGAAAAATTCAAAAGGTATTCGTTTGGGAATTGTTGACGCCATTTTCTTCTTCCTGATGGCCCTTGGATTTCCTCTTACTCTTTGAGGGCTGATATGACGAAAAGCAAATTGAATTGGTCCGTTGGGAAGAGTTCATGCTCAAAATGATCAAAGTTATCAGCGGATAGAAGATGGGGGAGTAAACCCGTAACGCTTTTTTTTTACAAATCATCCGTAAGATTTAGCGGTGATGCGAGAAACTTTTTCCTTTTCTAGCTTTTTATTTTTCAATAAAAAAAACCGATTTCTTTTTTTTTACAGTTTTTTAAGAATTTTTTTTTCGTAAGTCTCAAAGATAGCCACGATCTTAAATCCAATTTAATTTTCGTCCGTGTTAAAGAACTTTTTTAATTTTTCGTGCCACTTTCAAAATTTTTCTAAATTTTTCTCGAGATTTCTCAAGATCTTGGAAGAAAATTTTTAAATTTAAAATCTCCCTCTCCCTTTCTTTCCTTTTCTCTTCAATCGGAAGTTAGAAGAAAATTTCAAGTATCTTTTTAATT